GGTGAACCTCAAGTTTCAAGTATGGATTACGATATGATCACATGTCAACTGAAAATTTGCATCTACTACTATTGTAGGATTCCAGTATATCATCTTTATGTGACTCTGCTTGGGCAAGCTGATAAGCTGGATAAGAGCTCGGCTGTTGCTGCAACATCAAACTAAGAAGAGTGCTGATTTACTAGCTTCAGATTTTTAGCAGAAACCAACAGGAGTTATAATTCTCGAATCAAAAAGTTTCTGATTTTCTGTTTCCTTGTAAAATTTGAATGCGCATTGGAGATGCTTTAGTAGTATAGTCAAGTGAATTAAACTAGAGTAGACATTCTGATAGAACAGATGTCCTTCTTAGTGTTGCCATTTCTGTTCTGATCGGAGTAGACATTCTGGGATCAAAGTTTCTGATGTCTGTTTCTGCCACTTCTTGTTGGCACGATAGTACATAAATAAATACCAAGTTCTTTTCATCTCTCTCTCACATGTGCACTAAAATTCAATTTTGAAAAGCAAATAAGCACAAGAAGGCACACAGAATGAGATTGCAAATATGTTTTCCAATTTTGTTTCAATGCCAATGAGAAAGAAAAGGACTTTATTCAAATTATTCACACAGAAAGGACTTTATTCAGACTGCCTACAAAAGGTCTATTTCTAGTTTAATTACAGAGGGTACTTCATTGGATTGACAACTTGACAAGGGTAAGTGCTAAGACCTTAACCCCATTAGATATGCCATCAATGGAGTAAAATTCTTCAGGCTTATAGCTGTAACCTGCAAAACCAAGTTAGTGTTAATTAAGAGGCATTTTCAATTGTGGATTGTAGTAAGGGAGAAAGGTCAAACCTTTGTAGCATGGAATGAATATCATACCCATAGGAGATACTCTGTAAAAGTGAAAAACAATTATCAGCTCATTTTTGTAATCAAAATGAATGAAAGGCATTGGCTTAATTAGTATTAACCAATCTTTGTTCATAGCATAACATACTTAGAAGCCTTTCATATAGGGGCAATAAGCAGAAAGAGCTGAACTAGGAGTAATAGCATAAGTCAATAACAGCTGTAGTATGTTTTGTGTATGATGGATATATATGTTTGTATTTACGTGTGTGTATTTACGTGTGTGTGTATTTTGTATTTTGTTCTTTTAGTTGTAACAACAAAATCATAGCATCGAAATTTCTTACATATTTTTGAAAAGAACCCCACCAAAATTGATAATTATGGTATTTGGTTGCGTTAACAAGATTAACAATTTATCATTATGCTCTTTTTAGTTGTAATTATAGTGCGAATGAAGAAATGAAAAAAAGAGAATTAATTATCATAAATTTATTGTTAAAAAATTTAAAATCATAACATTATGTTTTTTTTTTTTTAAAGTTAAACAAGTATTTCTAAATACCAAAAACAATTATATATATTTAAGTTTCATACCATGTCTATTTTGGTCATTTTACATACCCACAGCAATTCCACCTCAAAATTTACTAAACACTATTTACTGATTTTAGAATCAGCACAGCTACTATAATTACAATTTACCAAACACTCAGCTGCTTCTTATAACAGCTGCTTCTTCCTTCAGCACAGCTAAAAGCAATTTTTCTAAAATCCACAGCACTACCAAACTAAGCCATTATCACACCGTCAGAAAACTAATATTCATACCATTACAAATAGTAAACCATTAGATATCACAGAGTAGTCTAATGGCCGAGCGCTCGTATTTTCCAATCCACAAATAATGCATAGGAGGATATCATTGACTCTTTGTAGGAGCTATAGATTCCAATATCTATGAATAGTGAATCTACACATACACGAGTCATACCCCTAATGTACCAGTAAATGTACCTTTACATAATGTCAGGATGTCTCCCTTTGGTACATCAAAAGATACAAGTCAAGCATACGGGTTCATTATCCATCTCAGGATTAAGATGACAACATATAATTCGTCAAAAGTGAATTGTTTTATTCAAACAGAATTATTAATTAAAACAATTCAACTTTGGTCCGACCCAATATAGATTTCACCATTAGAAACTATATCAATGTCTCTACCCATGGAGTCCCACCTCTGACGACCAAGACAAGCCGTCTCTGTTAGGAAGTAGACAACATAACAATCTTAACATGAATAAAGCGCCCAACTTTATTCTCTCAATTGTGGATCGTATGATTTAGACTATCATCTTTAGATTCCTGTCTTCCGCATGTTCTACACATTACATGCATGACCTAAAGATTTAGAATGACAGTCTCAGACTTTCAGTTTGCTTATCGTACATTCAACTAATATGAACATAAGGAGGACAATACATAGATATATGAAATAAATAAATCTTTATTAATAGTCAAAATGTCTCAAAGAACATCGTTACATTTATTCCTAAGGGCATAAACGCTAACATAACTCCCTAGGACATGTTCATTGGACTAGAGCAAGTTAAAATAAGCCCAACCCCTAATTCAATTTATCACGTGGAAAACAAAGAAGACACTACGTCAGCAATTCTAGTAAAATAAGAGAATCACCACGTCAGCGATCCCATGAGATGCGGATTATCATCAATTGAAGTGCAGGTTATGTCTAGGAAGGAGTGAAAAGCCACGTGCTAAGAGAAGAATAAGAGATGCGGAAATGGTGGATGTGGGTAGGACAGTTACACCCACAACCGACGGTTACATCCACAAGGGATGGTTACTCGGGGGGAGAGGAAGTAGAGAAGGGGTTTCGAATCCTCGCTCTCGGAGAACACTTCTTTACATTTTTTCCTTACTTTGAATGTTGAGAGAGCATGTAAGAGAGAGTTTGAGGGTGTAATCTCATAAATTCAATGAAAATCTTAGTAGATGTAGGCCATATTGGCTCAAACCACTCTAAATTATTGTGTCCCCTCTTTCCTTTCATCTTTATTTTGATTCGTTGATGGTATTTTCATCTTTTTGAATCGGATTTTACTCTACGGATTCAGTTCCTCTAAGGTTGGTCATTTTTTGCCATCAACAAGTTGATCCAATGGTGGTTAACTATAAACTTTTTAATCCCTCTGACAACAAGAACATAAAATTTATTTAACGAAGTTGAATAAAATCAAAATTTTGAAATAAATTAAATATTGCTAATTTACCTTTTTATATTATGTATTCAAAGTTTATTCAAAAGCATACTTCTAAGTTTTTATCTCATGAAATTTATATCTTTATGTTATATTTAATCACAAATCCATATTTTTTCTGGCTCAAAATCTCGGTTTTGACCTTAAAAATACATAAATACCCTCAAATACAAGAAACAAAAAAGAAAAAAGAAAAATATATTAAAAAAATATTCACAAAGATGGTTTTACCCTTTCCATCTTCTTTTTTAGAGTAGTTTTTATTTTTATTTTTATTTTTCCTATTAAACTGTATTCTAGGTTTTTTAAAAATTAAATTTGAGTCCTAATTAATAAAAGGTATTGATTTATGTTTTAAACATAACAAAAGACTAGATGGCATAAATATAAAGCTTAAATCTACTAGATTTCAGCGACATACTATGTAAATATAAAGCTGAAATGGGGTTGGGATCCACTTACAATCTTGAACAAAAAACCCGCAAATATTTATTTAGTTTTTTGCTAAATGAAAGAAAAACACATTATAGAATCTAATTTCAGGAAAGGGAATTAAATTCCTGATTTTAGATTATTGTGTTTGCTTTTGTATTTGGTAATTGAATTACGTAGATTCTATCTATAAATAAGGATTTAAGTTCCTTAATAAGAGCGAACTTATATCTCACCTTCTACCTACCGACTTTAATTCCTTCCCCAAATTATCAAGAACTAACCTATTTACTAAATTTACTCTTATTTAATTCCTTCCCCGAATTTTCAGGAACTAACAACCTATTTACTAAATTTACCCTTATTAAGTTTTGTTATTCACTTAACAGAAGCATATTTTTTGTAAGCACATTTATTTTATTCCTATTCCTTTTAATTTTTATTTTAATTTTTATGCAAGTAAACAACATAATATAAATTTAATTTCCCTTGTAACTTAATTCATAAATTAAATTAGTAAACACTTTAATGGAATTTTGGAATTCAATTACGTTGAACTTAATTTCTTTTTTTCTTGAAAATTATTTCCTATTACACACTCAATAATAGAAATCAGTAAAGTCAGCCCCTAGGATGGGGTTGTAGAGCGTTAACTATAGTGTTCCATTTTAATAGCAGAGATACCATTACCGTACGCAGTCCTTAGCTCCTTGGGAAATCTACGTCTTGAAGAATTCATACATCAGACAAGAATACATTGCTTCGCCCTAATACGGGTACGCCGCTCTCTATCCCTATAACATTTGCCATTTATAGAGAAAAAAGGGTGGTTTGATTAAATCCCGCCCTTTATCAGGATCACTTAGCTTCAAGTCAAGCCATGATAGAGAGCCAAATACTCCTTTTAATGTGGTTTACAATTCCACTTCCATTTATTTCTTCTTCTCTTTTAACGCATAAATATCATAATCGTTTAAGCGCGTGACATTAACAAATCCAGATTCAGATACATAGATCTCAAAGCAATTCATCTGTTATATCATAATTGTTTTTGACTCTTTCTTTACCGCTAGAACAGGAGCATCATTTAACCATTCAAGTTTAGCTACTTACGTTCTTCCTAAAAAAAGCGTTGTCACTAAGTCATCAAAAGATGAAGTGAAAAACACTTCGAATAAGGAATTGTATGGAAGATCATGAGCTGCAAAAAGCAGACTGACATACATTTGAGGAATTGGAGTTTTTGCAGAAACTACCACACACGTTTTTGTTGCTCGAGCAACAAAATAACAATCTTAATGAGAATTACTTGTTAAGGCCAAAAAGTGAATAAATAAAATAAAATAAAATAAAACACTGAAAGTGTTTAGCATAACATATATTATCACAAATATTTTTACAACGAGCAACACTACAACACTATGAATTAAGATGCAGGGACTGACGGAAAAAAAAAAAAGAAAAAAAAAAAAGAAGGAAAGAAAAAGGCCTACAGCTTGATATAATTCTAAAGAGGAACAATCAGAGAGGCAAGAAATAAAAGAATGCAATTAGAAGTCAGAAATTTGGTTGAGACCAACTGATTAAACTACTACGTTACCTCAAATTCGCAGTTGTCTTCTTCTTTTTCTTACTTTGCTTTGCCAAAAGTAGTGAAAGCCGAGCATATCCAAATTTCTTTCTCTTACCAGAAAAATGCTTTTGAACGTTCTCCTTCTCTGGTCTAAAAGAAGAGGATAGCTCACCATTTTGTTTGCTGAGCATTTGACCCAGAGACACCTTTGGTTTTACAGAATCTTTTCCAGACATCCCAATTTGCAGATCTTCTGGGAGCAGCAGCTTCCGGCTTAGTATCTGTCCAATTGACAAGGTTGGCTTCAGAACAGGCGTTGACCCATCTGTAACCAGATTAAGTCCGTTCACATCAAGCAGGCGTGAATCTCTCCGGTGGTGAGATGCGGAAGAATTCTTAAATTTGGTAGAGTTTTGTATAGAACGTCTTCTTTGACCATGTTCAGATCTCCATTTGCGAAGAGCTTCTTCAACTGCTAACTTCCCTTTATTTGCAGCCTCCACTGTGCTCAGAGCTTCTTCCAATGCCTTTCTACTGGTTTTGACTTCTTCAGTTGCCTCCTCTACCTTTTTCAAAATTTCCATGTTTGATATGTTTGCATCATCGACTTGCTCCATAGCATCTACTACTCTCTTCTTAGATAGCTCCTCAGCATCTCGAGCTCTGCGGACCAGAGATGAATACCCCTCAAACGTAAGTGTAATTCCAGTTGAGCCATCATTGTTTGATATAGCCTTGATCTCTGCAAGAGCAACAGCTTCAACCGTTGCTGCCTCCTTCATTTTTCTTGCAGCAACCAATCTGACTTCAGCTGTTCTTATCCTTGTTCTTGTATGTTCAATCTCCTGTGTAGCTCTTAAAACTTCTGATCTTGCATCTTCTCCCACTTTTTTGAACTGCTCCACCTCAGAATTCAAGCGGTGGAGCTCCTTTGAAATATCTAAGGGATTCTCCGAACCACCTTTACTTTCAGCATCCTTTGCCAATTGTAGCTTCAGTTTTGTTTGATTTAGCTCTTCTTCCAGGGATGATATTTTTGAAGAATTCTGAGTCAACCTTTCACGGGTCTTGTCAAGTGCAAACCTTTCCTTCTCTAATTTCTTGTTAAATGAATCAACAGAAGATCGAATGTCAGCAAGATCAGTTGTAGTCCTGCTAAGGTTCAGCTTTGCCTGTTTCAGCTCCATTAAGATCAATCCAGGAGCTGCAGAAGGGTAGGGGCATACGCCTTCTACGGAATTCAAATTACCTCCTTCA